CTCGCCCAGTGGAACGTACCTGGAACAAATGTCTGAGCCACCCCAGCTGGCTCATCCCAATGTGTAGGAGAAGCAGCTCTACTCGGAGCCCCACCCGAATGACCAAGCTCCTCATCCAATCTCTAGGGGAGAGCCCAGCCACCCTGGAGAGGAGGAACATTTCGGCCGCTTTTTGCTTCAGATTTTGTACTTTCGGTCATGATCCAGATTTCATGACCACAAGTGAGGGAAGGAATGCAGACTGACTGGTAAATTGAGAGTTTTGCCTTTTTGCTCAGCTCTCTCTTCACCACAGAGACTGGTGCAGTGTTTGCATCATAGCAGCAGCCGCAACAATCCATCTATCGATCTCCCCATCCATTCTCCCCTCACTCATGAACAGATACTTGAACCCCTCCACTTGAGACAGGAACTCTCCTCCAATCTAAAGGGAAACAACCACCTTTTTCGGGTCCAGAAACATGGCCTCAGACGTGAAAGAGCTGATTCTCATCAACTAAACTCTTTATGGCTCGTTTTCAGCCGCTACAAAGAGCGAGGAGGTAGCAGGAAACAAGGCACTGCCTGCCTATAGCCTGTAGCCACTGTGTATTATCATTGTAGATAAACTAGATAGGAAAAGTTTTGAGGTCGACCTTCCTGCCTGAATAAACATCTTAAAACCACTTTTTGTGACTTTTTTTAGTAAAATAAAACCACTACTTGTTCAAACTTATGTTTTCCATTTACAGCTGCTGGTAGCTCAATTGTGGAACAGATTTCTGGCAAAAGTCTACAGGAGGGTGCATTTATTGCATCACTGATAAAATGGTTAGAGCAAGAACACATCAGGGTACTCTGGGCATACTTGCCATGAAATGTTTTTAGGATTGGCCGTCGTTGGTGACATTTCACAATTACGCAAGTCTGTTGATACAAACAAGTGTTTATATTGAGAAAGGGCCAGTGTTTCTAAAGCCACCATACATGTCCACCATTACTGCATTTTAAAACAAGAATTAGGAGGATGACAACTGATGACATCCATATTTATTAGACATAGACTAAAACTATTTAAACATCTATATTTAGTTGAAATAAAAAAGGGCCCAACTGTCTTCCTCACATATATTTTGATTATATCCATGTTTCAATCAATTATAGTTAGGAATCAGTTTATTTTTGTATACTTTCAAAACAAGCATCCAGATGACTGCAGTTTTTGGACCTATAACATTGGATTGTATTGTCTATTGGTCAAGATCACCTCCAAAACACTCACAGTTGGCGAAAAGGTGTCTTTCTTCCACCTTAAGAAAAGCATCAGGACAATAATTCTAAATTCAGCAGAAAAATGTATATATTTGGCAACCATTTGGGGAAATATTCTAATAATGCCTTTGATGCCGATTTTTTTAGACCGTTGACTCCATTCTGCTCTCTGACTCTCCTTTCTAGATCTGTTGTTATTATATTTTTAATATCTTTTGTGTGATTTTGTTTCATAATAGCTTTGTTGTTGCTTTTTCTTTTTTCTAACAAAATTCTTGCAACCTTAACATATGTCTGAATACAACTTTGCAGTCAGTGTTGTTATATGTAGTATAATTGCAAATTTGTACATGTTGTTAAATGCATACTCCTGTATGGTTAAAAGAAAATGAACTTACCTTTTGTTTTCTTTTTTTTTCTCTAATAATAAACAATTTAAAACCAAACGCCACAATACAGACATATCAAGGTAGTAAAGCATTTGAAGCTTTTATAGTCTGTTACTATATTAACTTCATTTCTCTTATTTATTGTTTATACAATAAATCTGCACTGGCAGATTTTGATCATGTTAAGTACAGTGAAAACAAACCTATCGTTATTTTTATGGGTTATTTTCAAAGGGAAGATGAAAGTCCATCTGTTTATCTAAAAAACAATATGATTTAATCCTATTTGTGTAACACTGAGTGTTTTTCATAAGCTTTAACCATCAAAATAAACAGGAATAAATAATGTAACACATTATACTGTTTGTAATGCTTCTGATTTGAGAGTTTTGCTTTTTGAATTGAATTACAACAAAAATAAAATCGATCATATTGAAACGTTTTAAATGTTAAATAATATCTTCTGTAATTAATTGTTTCATATATTTTAGATTTTCAACTAGAAATTTACAGATGCGTTTCAATGCATTTAAAAAAAAGTCAGACACCGTCATTACATTTTATATATTATATAACATCCTTTCAACAATTTCATATAGAACAGAAGGCAATACACTAATTTTGTTATTTTTTTCTTTACTATGAGTGCCACCCCAGACAGAAGTGAGTCATTTCATTATGTATCTATTTACTCTTACCACAGACAAGCAGAGGATGAAAAAAAAAAAACATTGCTATAAAACAACTAAATTAGAAAGCCCCAGAAATGTAAAATTATATGTGGCTCACCTTCAAGGTATTTTTATCTGTGATTTAAATGTGACATAACATCTAAACTCTGTGTATTTTTTTCTTGTTTTTTTCCTCCACCTCTGCAGAGTTTCAATGCTCCCCCACGCTTTAAGATGAAGTTATGGAAAGGTGCTACTTTTGCCTTCGTGCTATGTGCCACAGCCCTGTCCACCTTCCTCATTAGAAGCATGGTCTCCATCAGAGAGTTCAGAGTCAGTGTGAAACATCCATGCACATCATCATTCCCAGAATCGCCTTCAGCAGAATCAGAAGCTGTGCCCCTGCAGACAGAAAGCCTTCGTCGGAAGACCCGCTCAACAGGCAACAACATGAACTCCCTGCTCTCAGAGTGTGAGAAACATGATTTCTTTCTTCCTTTGTCTGTTAAAGATAAGATGTCATGGGAATAGGTTGACTAAGTTCAGTCAAAACATTTAGTACCCGACTCTGTTGTTTATAGAGCAAGTTTTAATGTCTCGAAACAACCTGCGGTCAATGAACACCTCATACGTCATAAACTCTCCATACAAGCTCTGCACCCTTTAACAGCAGGGAACATATTTCACTTTTTTTCCATTAACATGGTTTCATTAACCAGTATTTATCAGCAAAATTATCTTAATGGAATTACAGTTTTGTCATGCTAGTGGAGATAAAGACAGAATGGACAAAAAAAAAGTAAATAAGAGCTCATCTTTTGGCACGGTGTTCATTGTTGCAGCAGCGATAACGCCCTATCGCATTCAACCATCAGTTCTGTTGAACTCAATGTTTTGAATGTCTATCTCAAATTTACAAGGAAGCATAATAAGCCTCTCCTTTTCACCTGCCAATAACACGTCTGTTGATCTTTCATATGTCTTTCAGTTTCTGTGATGCTGCAGAGTTTTACAGAGGTTGAGCTTCAGCATGTGCTGGGAACCTTGCTGGAGAGGAAGAGAAGAAGAGAACAGTCCATCACAATGACCCAAGCCCGAAGGACTAAAAGAGCTAAAAAATCCAGGCCCTGCTCTGTGAGGAAGGTGGCTCTGATGGTGAATGAACTGGGTCTTGGTTTCCAGAGCGATGAGACTATATATCTGCAGTACTGCAGTGGTAAATGCGATAAAGAAAAGAAAAACTATGACTTTGTCATGGAGCACATACTTAAAAAAGGCTTAATACGGAAAAAGAACAAGGTCAGCAAAGAACCCTGCTGCCGACCCACTGAATTTGAACTTCTTGTCTACTTTGGGAATGGTGGCCATAACATAATATCTAATGTATCAGCAAAGCATTGTGGGTGCGTATGACCCAAAGTAAGGAGCCTCTCCCTTCTTTAAGCTGCTCCAAGCTCTGCTGCTGAAAAAGGATGCATAATGGACAAACAAGGGAATGTAAACACCAGCAGAGAGAAGAAAACAATGAGAAAGTGTTTATCGCGCCTCCATGGGAACCTTTTTGACTGATTGACTTTGAATGAATTTATCTGTCAACACCAGTTGGATGCGGATCAAGTAAATGGCAAGTGCCATGTTTGGATTCCACATAAAAAAAGAAAGGGAAAATGGCAGCACACCCAAATTCATGTTAATATCTTTTCTATCTGTGTAGGAAACACTGTAAACTATGGTGTTAACAGCAGTTTAGCAACATGAGGTTTGCGTCTTCTTAGTCATTTGTACATGTTTAGATTCAGAACGATAAGCCAGAGTGGATCGGATCATTGTTGTTATTGCACTTCAATTAAATTTCTATCCAAAATTTTACGTTTACACACTTATCCCAACAAATAAGACGAGGTAGTTTCTGGCACGTAAATAAGACGAGGTTTGCTTAAAAATCAGCACAGGATGACTTAAAAGGTTACATTTTGAGATGCATCCAGAGAGCTGTGTTGCATTTTTGCAGTCTAAGAAGATTTTTATGACATGTTTCCTGATTTATGTACTTTGTTACTAACTGCAGCTTTACTACAAAGGTAAACAAGAGAAGTGTTACTTATAATTTATCAATGGAAGATATAAATCTTTAGTGAGTGGTACAAAACCCATAATTACTGCATTTCTTTTATCTTGTGTAGAGACTTTAGACATGTATGTATTCTCAGTGTAAACATCCTGCAGAACAAAACCTCCCCTACTTTCTCCAGATAATATAACAGGCACCCCTGGAAAAGATATGCAGAAAGTCTTACAAATTGATGTATTTTTGCAGTAGCATAACCTTATATCTATAATCTATTAATCCAGCCTTCAACTTGAGTACATTTATGAAGTGGGAAATGACTATCTTCCAAAACAACATAACTTGGTGAAATCCCTTTTAGCACAATTGTCTGTTCCCCTACTGGTAACAAATTGCAAGACAATGATTTGTCTTTAAACATTTTCCATAAGAGATTCTTACCTTTTTCGCATGGCAGAGCTCATGGTTGGTTTTCCGCTCTGCCTGGGTTTGTATGGGTCTTTCTATACTTAAAGCCAGAGCCAAGTCTGAATTCCAGGCACAAAGAGTAGTTTGGTTAGACGCAGCCAAAGCTGTCCATTTGTCTATGGAGGGGTGTCTGAATTGGGAATCAGGGTCTCATTGTTAGTTTTTTGTAGATGATGTCATTCTGTTTGAATTCCCAGGCCTTGAGCTTCAGCATGATATGGCTGAAATTTGCAGCTTTTATGAAAGTCAACTTTAAAATGGGGTCCAATTTGTGTCGAGTAGAGCAGGAATACAAGTAGCATGGTATTTTTCTAATTAGATGGATGTATTTTACATGAACACTGTCTCCTGAAGCATGATTGCTGATCCAGTTTGGTGTAATTAAGAAAGAGCTGAGCTAAAAAGTAAAATTCAACATGTAATGGTCTAGATTTTACCCTTAGTATGGAGTGTACTTAATGAAATGCTGTTGAGTATCAGGAGATAGGAGTTCATTGAGCCCCTGCTCCTTCTGTCCTAGACATTATGTTCCTTGGGTAGACGGTTTACCTGCCATTCTTACTGAGGAGGCCGATTGCACCGTATCTTTCAGTCTGCCACAGAAAGCTACACTGTTACATACCATGGGTGCATGATTTGTGATTTTGTTTGTTGACTTGTTACTAATGTCACATAAGCAGCAATGAATGGATGAAATATTTGAGTCAAAGTTATAAGTCTTCTGTTATGGTTGGTGTTTTTTTAGTTCATTGAACTGTTTTTAAATGCATTTTTAAATGCATTTAGATTGGGGGACAGTCATGGCTATCGGTGCTTCGAAGAATCTGAAGTCTGATTCTGATCCAGGCTCTGAAACCTTCTGAAAGGGAAACTAGTCCTCAGCATCACAGAACCCTCACTGTGATCAACAGTGGAGATGATGCACTATCCTACTTGTTAGACTTCCATTTCAGGTCAAACCCATTTAGACTGCTTGTTGCCAAAAGCTAAATCTTGAAGGTCAGGCGAGATCATTTATTGACATTCTTAACAAACAACAGTTTGTTAGGTAGTTGGTGTCTAATGCTTGTTATGGGGACTTGGTGACTAAAATTGTAAAATGTACTCAGGTGTGGGGTTGGATGTTTTCAACTTTGTTTTATTTTATTTAATTCTTAATTATGTTATTGAAAAAGATTATGAAGCTATATTTCAATTGATATATATATATATATATATATATATATATATATATATATATATATATATATATATATATATATATATATATATATGCATCTTTTCCAGGAGTGCTAAAATATTTGTCATCATCTTTACATTGGAGGAAATAATTTGCCAAAATATAGGATCTAATCAGATGTGATAAATTTACCAAATAAAATACAATTAGACAGCTTTCACCTAAATTTAAGAATACTATACCCATTCCAAATATTAGACTGGATGGAATTTGTGAATTTTTTGTCCCTAAGTGGGCTAAACTGATTTGAAAAGATGAAACAGGAGAAAGTTGGAACCATATGAACGGTATTAGAAAAAGCTGCTGGGATGTTTTCTTTTTTGCTCTGAGAAGCAGACAGCTGAAGTTTTAACCCTTCTGTAAATCATTGTCTGACCCATGACCCACTGTACAGCCTTTTGAATGGCCCTGAACATGCCTCTGTGTTGTGTTGCCTGGTAGATTTTAGGAGAGTAATAAGCTGTGTACATGAACTATAATGCATCTTTTCCACCCTTGGGTACCCTTATGTAGTTTCAAATAACTGCCTGAAGTACAACTATTGTTTTGCATTTTTGTTTTTCTCAAGAGAAGGTACACATGGGGTGCAGATGCGGTGCATCTATGTTGTAGTTTATATTGTATTTATTTTGAAATAAATTATAGATTTTCATATTTATTAAGATTATCACATATAAAGGGGACAGCTTTTTATCATCGAGCAACTGTGCCAAAAATGTTTTATCTTACACTCTATATTGTCTGCTGAATAAAGAACATTTTAAACATGTGGAAGATTATTTCTCCTGCGCTGAACCTTTGCAGATCTCAGTTGTATTTTAAACAGCTAATAAAATGTTAACGCCGAAAGTTGTTCATGTTAAGATAAATGAAGCAAAAATATGTGATGAAGGTAAAGATTTAAGACTTGCTGATGATCAGATTTCAATGAATAAACCATGCAGCAGATTGAAAACAGAGCAGCTTTGTCCCCACACTACATCACTGTGTAAGATTCACTTTATAAAATCATCTGTTTCACAGCAGCTTCACTGCCAAGGTTTCCAATGGTGCTGGCGACGGAGGCTTAAGCATGGGGCAGGGTGCCAGGTGGGTTGCTTAATGATCTGCATTTAGCAGGAACAAGAGAGTTATCATTTCATATCTCTAACGGAGCAGAAATTCTTCAACAATTTTTTCCCCCCCTTTTGTTTGTTTTTTGAAGATTCAGATCCATTTATATCAACAGATTTTATTTGGATATCAAAACCAGCCATGAAAGAATCAAGATTGAAAGCTGTACAGCAACTACACCAGAAGTGGCCCTTTAAGTTTGACTCTCCAACTCTAGTAGAGTCATGCACAAGGTGCAAAATTTAAAGTCTTCAGACTAGAGTTAAACTTTGGCTATAAAAACCTGAGACTTGACTTGCACTATTGGACATAGACTCTAGTCTTATTAAGTTATAATAAAGTATTGGAGAAAGCTGGTATGTCAGTTACAAGAGCAGAGTGTACACAGAGTGTATACAAAAATATATTTTGATGCATACAGCTTTTCAACAGTGAATGAGCAGCTTACAACAGGGAAATGAGCATTACCACTTATAAAGTGCAGCAGTGATCAAGATTGTAGACAGTGTAGGAGAAAAAGAAAACCAGTTTAAATTCATGGTGCAAAAAGCATTGATATGGGAAGGTTCAGTGCAGTCCAAAATAAATAATTATGGTGAAAAAATTCAGAAGAACATTGAGTTGTGTTTTGTTTAAAGAGATTATTCCACATTGTTAGTGCAGATGTGGTGTTTCTGAGTGTGATGCAGAGTCTTGATTAGAGTTCCAACAGTACAGGACTCTGGTGGCAGCAGGGAATAAAACCTGTTGCAGAACCTGCTGGACCTGCTGCAAATTCTGCAAAGCCTCTTCCCATTGGGTAGCAGGGAGAACAGTCTGTGGTGGGGGTGTGAGCAGTTGCTGATGATGTTATGGGCTCAGAACAGGCAGCGCTGGGATAAAATGTCTTAAATGGAGGGAAGAGGAGCCCCGAAGATCCTCTCTGCTATCCTCACCAACATTCTCAGGTTCCTCTGCATGAAGTACATGCGCTTTTGTGCCCTTTTGACCAGTGAGGTGGTTTTCAAAGTCTAGGTGAGGTTGTCTGTGATGTGCACCACTAGCAATTTGGTGATGCTGACCACCTCTACAGCTAAGCTGTTGATGACCATTGGAGCCTGTTAAGGCTGGTTCGTCCTAGTTGTTGTCGTCTCTGGGGAGGCCACCATGGGGTTGCCTGCAAACTTCACGATGTGATTGGTGGTGAACCTAGGGACGCAGTCGTGTGTCATCAGAGTGAACAGCAGGGGGCTCAGGACACAACCCAGAGAGGAGCCTGTGCTCAGGGTGATGACATCAGAGATGTTTTGTCCGACCTCGACTGACTGAGGTCTTTGGTGAGGGAGTCAATTGCAAAGGGGTGTGCTGAAGCCCAGCTGTTCCAGTTTGCCCATCAGATGCTGTGGGATGATGGTGTTGAAAGCTGAACTGAAGTCCAGGAACATAATTCGCACGTGGGTGTTCTTCTCCTCCAGGCTCACGTGAAGAGCAGAGGAAAGGGCGTCCTCAGTGGAACAATTATGTCAGTAGTCAAACTAGAACGGGTCAAATGTTGGGGAGAGTCTGGCAGACATGGGCAATGTGGAGTCAACAAGTCATCTCCATGTCGTGTATTTAATCTACCCAGCCAATTAACCAGGTGAGTCCAATCTGCACAGGTTAATTCACAGGGAAGATTGGACTCACCTGCTTCAGTGGCTGGGTAGAACAAATACATGACATGGAGATGACTTGTTGACTCCACATTGCCCATGTCTGGAGTCTGGATACAATGTGTTCTTTTACCAACTTTTCAAAGCACTTCATCGTAATGGGAGTCAGTGCGACAGGCCAGTAGTCATTGAAAGAGGTGACTTATCATAGCCTAGGGCCTTTCTTGGGTTGACTCTCAGAGTCTTCCACATGTCTGCTGTGTCAAGGCAGAGTGTCTCCTCTCCCTGATTGGGAACAGCTTTCACTGCTGGAGTGCTGATTAGTGCCTCCCAAACCTCCCAAAGAAGTTGTTAAATCCACTTAGGAAGTCAGCATCAGCTACACCCACCGGGGGAGAGGGTGTGTTGTAGTCTGTAATTGTCCGTATGCCTTGCCACATCCTCCTGGTATTGCTGGCGTCGTAGAAAAAATAAAACATTTTCTGGCTGTGGTTCTGATTTGCTAACTTGACGGCATGGTTCACGTTGGCCTTCGCTGTCTTCAGTGCCTCTCTGTCACCAGACTTGAAGGCTTAGTTCCATGCTATTAGCATTTGTCGAACCTCCTCAGTCATCCAGGGTTGTTGGTTGGCCTGGGAGATGATGTTCTTTGTGGTGCTGACTTCCTTAATGCATTTGTTGATGTAGCCTGACACAGTCATGGCATACTCATCAATATTGATTTTGTTGTCATATGTTGCTGCAACTTTGAACATGTTCCAGTCAGAACATTCAAAACAGTCCTGGAGTGCATCCATGACCCCTCAGTCCACAATCTCACCTTGACCTTGACTGTAAGATTTGCTCTGATAAGCAGGGGAAGATAGGTGGTCTGAAGAGCCGAGGTTGGGGCGGGGGGTTTCTCTGAATGCATCTTTTATGTTAAAGTAGTGTTCTGTTCCCTAGTTGCAAAGTCCACATTTTGGTTAAAATGATGGAGAACAGTCTTCAAATTGGCCTGGTTAAAATCCCCAGCAATGATGAAAACGCCCTCCATGTGTGAAGATTGAAGTTCAGAGATAGAGAAGCATTGTTAATCCCTCACTGTCAGTGGCATCCGTCTCAACCTGCTCAAAGTCCACCACTGTTGTTCCTGTCCCCAAGCTCTCCACAGTGACAGGCCTCAATGATTACTGACCTATAGCGTTTAGCACCTGTAGTCTTGAAGTTCTTTGAGAGATTACTACTGACCCACATCAAGAACTCCATCATCATCACTGTGGACTGACATCAGTACGCCTACAGGAGGAATTCATCCATCTGCTCTTCCTGGATTCCTCCCCTGTCTTCTACAGGGATGTGCGGTCAGGGGAGGCATGGCATCATGACAAGAAAAAAAAGATTCCATGAAGTGAATATTACTATTTCTCCACTGATATTTATGTATGACTAATGGTGAACCTTTTTATAGTAAAAATCACGTATTTCCTGTTCAAATGCAGGGGATGGATGCTCCACATCATGCAGGACTCGTACCTATTATGCACACAGACTGTTCCGGGCCAATCCCCTCATGCAGTCTTCTGAGGAGCATCCAGATCAAGAAAACAGACTCAGAAACAGTTTCTACCCTACAGCTGCAGTGTAAACTCTGCTGCAAACAGTAGTGCCTTGACTTCTGAAGTCCCATTAGTAACTTTGCAAAGAACCTCTATGGCCTTATCTATCCCTACTATAAGTTTAAGAGGCTTCCAGGTTTTATTAATTGATTGATTGATTGATTGATTGATTAATTGATTGATGATTGATTGATTGATTGATTGATTGATTGATTGATTGATTGATTGATTGATTGATTGATTGATTGTTCAGTTAAAATAGTCAAAAAAGCAAAAAGGAAGAAAAAGGTACATGGATATATACAGTTTATACAGTGCATCCACATATGACAGCTTTTTTTTTTTTAAACAACTCTTAGTTATTTTGTAAAGGCAAATTGTGGACGCAGGCTAACTGCTAGTGTTCTGTCCTGAAATATGTGCTTAATGAGACACTAACAACATCTTTGCAGCTTTCTTGTTCAGAAAAATCTACGTTTTATTTCATCAAACTGGTCTGGCACATAACTGAGGGGGAAAGGAGCAGAGGCCCATTTGGGGAATGTGGTTTAATCTGAAAAGCTCTTAACAACAGTTCATGACAACGCCACTCAACAGCAGGAAAAT